AGTTACCGGTAGGTATATTCATATTCCTAGGAATAGTTTTATAAAGAATATGAAATATTCCATCACAGGAGGCACTCAGCCACTTCCAGAAAGTATGAAAGATCGTACCATTAAGGAATAAATAACAAAATGACAATACAGCTCCTGATAACTTCTTATTCCATGTGTCCATGTGAAGTAGGTACGATGGACCAAAGCCACAAAGTTTGGGAGTATTCAGAGCAAGGAGTTGCTTTGAGCTTATGGCATGAAGAAAGGAGTATGAGTTGAGAAAGTGGTTATAGTTCTTTCTATACGCTTCTATGTGCAATTAAAGAGAAAACATCCATCTGTTTGGCTTGCATACTTAAACAAATATTATAAACAAATTAATTTAAGGCTTGACTTAAGACACTGATTAAGCATAGCATCACACATAACAAAATGTGCAAAACCGACAATCCCTGGACATAAGATTGCACAACACAGCCTCCAGATTTACATTCAAATGTGGTTGAGCAATTTAGTTAGTCAAATGTGAATCATCACTAACCCTTTTATTTGTTAAAGGAAATACGGGCAATGATCAAAATTCCTGTTAACTTATGTAAATTCCAGAGCACAGAATAGACCATGCTTAGCTCAAGACCTCTTTTTTCACTGCATAATTTTCTAGCTGCTAGAGAAAGGCTTAACGTGAAATACTTGTACAGACACTTTCCTTTCTAATAGATTTTAAAGCTTCAATAAAGTCCTTTGCCAGATTAATTCCCAAGGAAATAACAGTATGAATCAATGACCTGCTAATACCATTTTTTCTAACCAGAGTGAAAGTAATTTAAATTTCATATAGATACTGTTTCATGTCATGCAGTTTTTAAGTTTGTAAATGTCTTTCACTTCTTGCTCAGCGACTAGATGAAACAGGCTTCTTCCTATCTGGCTATGCCAACTTCATTGAAGGAAGGGCCAGAGGTAGCTTCACTACCACCATGAAACAGGTTTGCCAGGTGTCTGGTTTTCGTCCAGTTTCGCTGGGGGTGGAGAGGTGGGGAGGAGGCTCCAGCTGGCAGGCAGAGGAGGAACAGGCGAGCGGGGAGCGGAGGGGGACTAAATTGGCTCCCCCGTAGCGTGGCACCTGGGGGCAACTGCCCCCCCCCTCCCTTTGCTATGCCACTTCCCAGAGGGGAGTATGCTAATGTCTGGGAGGGATGTGGGTCCTAACGCCAAGTGGTGAAGAATAAAAAGCAACAGGGGGTGAGACACCAATTAAAAGGGGGTGCTCCAGAGCTGAAAAGCTAATTATCAGTGTGTCCAGCAGCAGGCGCCTGTGGTGGTGAGCACCTGCTGTGTTACAGAGTGTCTCCTGCATAAAGACTGTATCAGCTCAGAAGTAAGACCTCAGAGCAGTGCCTGCTGTCTTGAGCCGTGACTTCCACTGGTGTTAATATAAGTCATGTGACTGAACCCCCCCCCCCCCAAAACTGGCTGATAATGGCTTAGCCCTTAGGTTCTGCTCCTGTTTTAACCCCCCTATTGACTCCTGAGAGGGCAGGCTCTGTCCATTCACATAATGCGAATGCTGCCTCCCAAAGTAGCCATGCTTACTTGAGTGGACCGTGTCTCTTAAACTGGCCTGTGTAAGGTTCAGATTATACAGGGGAAAAGCAGAATGTCAAAGGCTGCATGTAGATGGGGAGGAGCAGGGTTGGCTGCTGGGTACTAGACAACCTCTCAGGACATGACCTTCCAAACCTTCTTCTCACAGAATTTCCCAAACTAGCATACATATTTGCAATATGCACACCCTGCAGGCTTGCCAGAGGATGATGCTACAGATGCTTGGTTGCATCAAGCTTTCTCTACCCTCAGTTATTTCAGACCACCAGTGGGAACGTGGAGACAGACAAGGCAGCACGTAAGCGTCATGGCACGGAGCCTTGGCTGGACATCATAGTTCTTAGAACACTGGTGCCACAGACACTTTACCTGCACCAGGTTTCTATATCATTGCTACCAAGGTGAAGTTGCTCAGACTGTAGCAATGGTGTGCAGTTTAAGGGGAGGCGGGGGGAGAGAGAGAGCCAGCAAATAGTTGTTCCCAGCCATGCTTGCTCTCTTCTGAGCAACTCCCATGAAAGTCTTCACCTTCAAAACATTTCATGCAGAAAAGCCTCCTTGAGTTTCAGAGATGTGTGTGTGCGTGTGTAGGGGGGTGGGAGGGTGATGTTGCACTAGCTCAGTAGCAGCATCTTTGTATGAAAGGAGGAGCAGGAGCTCTCCTTCTAGCAATCCTTCTGCAGGGGAAAGTGGAGAGGAAATATGAGCCTAACAAAATGCAGATATACTTCTTCTGCCTTCCCTCAAGCTAAACAATCACCTCCACTGATGGACATGTACATCTCATAGCTGGCTGTGATTTAACTGTGCAAGCACAAAGATAGAAGTGAGGGAAGGATGGAAAAAGTCAGAATGGCAGCACAAAATTCAAGAGGAAAGGAGAACTGAAAAACACAGTATGAAAAACCTGAGAAAGTGGAAGGAATAAAACAGCGACAACACTTTCAATTCACTCACAGTATTTAATGCAGTAACTTAATGAAGCTATTTTAAATATTGCAACTTTCCCCATGCCATGTAAATGGAAAACACTTCCTAAGGAAAGAAAAAGCTTTTCAGTATATAGTGACAGTGGTTTGTTTCTGTAATAATGTAGAGAAGGCTGGTAATCAGGGCTTGAAACTAGATACTGGTCCATCAGCAGATGCTGAAGATATATCAGTAGCTGTACCTCATTCATCACTATCAGGACAGTGAGCTGTCCCTGTTGGAGTTGCTGCAGCTGTTAGAATGGACACAGAACCTGGCAAGCTCAGGGTGCTGCACCTGCTTTCTGTTTAGTATGTGGCACACTCAATTTGTTAGTAGCGGTAGCTTTAGGCAGAGGCTACTGCCTGACGCATCTGTTCAGCTGGAGTTAGATCAATCTTGTCATGATGGACTTTTGTTTATATCGGGGTGGGGAACCGCAGGCCCAGGGGCCGGATGTGGCCCTCGGCTTGCCTGGATCCAGCCCCTGAGGCCCAGGGCCACCCCTAGTATTGAGCAACTGGTGCTCCAGTCCCCTGCTGTCACCCTGTGGTGCTGGAGCACACAAAATCTACTAGGCTGGGTCCCCTAGGTTCTGGTGTGCAAGGGGAATGTAGGAAGTATCTTTCTCCTTCGCATTTGGGGGCCACAGTGAGGGTTGGTTTTTTTCTGCTTCTGACGTGTGTGCTGCCCACAACTGATTTTTTTCTGTGGGTCAGCAGCCCCTGACTCAAAAAAAAGTTCCCCATCCCTAGTCTATATGAATCAGCCCCATCAACTGTTACTTTCTAACCCCCTTGGCAGCTTGCATACTTCTCTCTCTCATATCCAGGCCATACTGAGTGGAGTGCTCTCCCTTTTAGAATCACAGAGGCACAACTTTTATGCCCATCCAAAAGAGGTGTCTGGTCAGATTAAGCAGATTTAGATGCCAATTGCTTCCAAACTCTTCTGCCGTGCCAGCTAAAGAGGCACAATTTCACAACAGTGAGTATAACCAGCATGGGTATCCTCTTGTGGGGTGAGCTGGCCTTCTCAAAGTTCTGGAACACTTTGTTTCCTCTATCTATATAGCATTTGTACTCCTGATTGTGTGGCATTAGGGCCTGAGTATTAAACAGTTCACTATCTGTCTGTGTCCCATGTAGGAAGACGTGTCCAGGGTTTGTTTGGCAGTGCTTTATCTGTACTAAACCTGCCATGAGATGCTACAAGCCTGAAAGACAGCAGTTCTTCCTCATTTGTTGGTCAATGCTAATGGTATTCTTGCAGGGCTTTTATACAGGTCCTTACACTTCAGAATAAATTTTCTTTGGGAAATACTTTGAAAATACTCAATACCAGGCTTACTGCATCTGCCTCTGAGTCTTGTATACTACTATATCAGCATGATCTTCTGCAGCCATAAGAATTGTTGTGGTTCCTGTTAGCAGGCTGTGACATTCTGGAGCAGGGAGAGTTGTCACCTCTGCCCTGCAAATTTGAGAGCCTCACAATACTTAGCTGCTGTCACTCCCACTTGGGCCACTCACAAACAGCACAGCAAGTGTGTGTGTGTATAGTGCTAGCCTGCCAGCCACACTCTAGCTTCCACCAGTTGAGAGTTACCATTTTCAGGGTGACCCAGTACATGCCCAGTTCTGGATTTTCCCAGAATGTATTTTCTGCAATGGCCTGCCCTCTTCTGGACTTTCCAGATATATTATGTCCATTGCCTTTTTAAGGGAATCAATATTCACACACAGTCATGCTACTTTAAATGGAGTCCAGTTTAACCACAAGAGTGGATTCATTTTGATTAAAGAACCAAGGAATTTTATTTAATAGCAAGGAGACAGGTTTTACAAGAGTACAAGTGTATGGCATTAAAGTTAGAAATGATTACAAAAGAAATCAAGATAAAAATTCTTCTTAGTCCTAAAACCTAAAATAAATGTGCTTCAAGATGAAGTACCTTGCCACATGTTCCCAAAAACATTGCCAATCAAATGCACAGGCCAGGTTCTGCTCTCAAAGTCTGTTTCTTTTGTTCTCTGTGGTGTGAGTATGAGCAGGGTTGCCAGGTGTCCGGTTTTGAACCGGACATGCCAGTATTTGAGCTTTCTGTTTGGGAAACAAATTGAGAAAATATAAATGTCCAGTATTTTCTAAATAAGATGTAATGTAGATTGTGATGTAATGTCAAGTGTGTCTGGTATTTTTGTTGAAACCACCTGGCAACCATAAGCATGCGGCACGGATATCCTTTGAAGTAGGAATAACAGATCCTCCGGAAAAGGGCTTTTTTCTGGAGGATTGGGGCCAGTGTAGACGCTCTTTTCCGGCTTTTCTAAAAGCCGGAAAAAAGCGGCGGACATTTTTATTTAAATGCCGCGGGGGATATTTAAATCCCCTGCTGATTTCCCTATTACGACCTGTAAAATTAGCATGCCCCTTTCGGAAAAGGGGCCAGTGTAGACGTAGCCCTTATGTTTATAACTTTACATATAATGTTGCTTGCACACACTTGATCATGATATTATAGATCAGTGAGATTTTTCAAATGATATCTTATACAGCATATTTTGTACAAAGGTTATTACAATGGTGTATAGGATATGAACACAGAGATTCGTTTGGTCACTCATTCAGACATCTCTTGGAAAGCATTATCCATCCTCTTTGCCCTTGAGAATGAGTTTCAAACTCCCTTGCTTTTTATATTTTTAATTTCCGAGTCTGACATGTTTTGCACGAACTGCTCATTTCAAATCTCTCCTTGGGCTGAAGAACTACTGAAGGATATTTCTAGCACTCAAAATGCTGTCCAAAATGAGATTTTATTTCTACTGAATTGTGCTAAGCTTGGGTGTTGGTGGAGCTGGCATGACAGTTTGAATGATGAACTGATATTGCTTAAATTCAGTGTCTGCTGGGTGTCCTTCCTGAGAAATGAAATAAGCTGAATGTTGCTTTATTGTTGTAATTATAAGACAAATCTATCTATTGTTTGGTGACTTGTTTCAAAAAGGCTGGCCCAGATTCTGTTGTCAGTTACACCAATGTAATTTGAGAGCAACACAGTTATAATAATTACCATTCCTGTGGACCAGCAGAATCTGACTCAGCTATCAAGGAATTATAAAATATATTCTGTAAAATAACCATGGAGATTGAAGGCGCCATCTACTGGCTGTTAATAGCTGTTCCCAAACAATTACAGGTAAGACTACACAGCAAAGATATTTCGGGATATTGAGGTATCCCGAAATAGCTACCCTACATATTAGAAACGCACCCATTATTTCAAAATATTTTTCGAAATAACAGGCACTCTATTTCTCCATCCATGTACATCTCATACTCACAGATTCAACTCTTGAGGGCTGCAAGGCATTTGACTTGGTTCTGCATGACATTTTGATTAAGAATCAAGAATAATATAAAATTGACATGACACACATTAATTGGAATAAAAACTGGCTGATAGGCCTCAGAATATAACTATAAATAGGGAATAACCATTGAATGGGTCTGTTTCCATTGGGGACCTACATGGACAGTTCTTGGCCTTGTATACAATTTAATGTTTTCATTAATAACCTGGAAGAACATGCAAAATCTGCGAGCATAATGTGAGGATGATGACACAAGAGATGGTGGAGTAGTAACTGGATGCAAGCAAACAATGTGCATGTTATAAGACTAAATGTAAATGTATACATCAGAGAACAAAGAACATAGGCTATATTTATCCCAGGAAGCAACAACTCTGAAAAAGACTTGAGTTTCATGGAGGATAATCAGCAGAACACGAGCTTCCCATGTGAAGCTGTGGCCAAAAGAGCTAATGAGATCCAGGGGACTCAAGTAGGAGTAAAGTTAGTTTACCTCTGTACCTGGCACTGATGTGGCTGCTGCTGAAATAATGTGTCCACTTCTGTGCCCACAATTTAAGAAGGGTGTTGATAAATTGAGAAAAGCCCCATAAGAATGATTAGAAGGTTAGAAAACATGCCTTTTAGTGACAGACTCAAGAAGCTCAATCAATTTAGCTCAACAAAGAGAATGTTAAGGGTGACTTGATTACTAACTACCTAAACGGGGATCAGTGAATAGTGTCTTCAATCTAGTAGAAAAGTGAAACACAAACGGACAGCTGGAAGCTGAAACTAAACAAATTCAAACAGGAAATAAGGTGTAAATTTAACAGTGAGAGTAATTAACCATTGGAACCAGCTCACCATTACTAGGCATTCGAAAGTTTCAATAAATATGATCTTCTCAAAACTTGGTATGATCAATCTTGTCCTAGAGTAGAGTTCTTCTGAAGAGCTTAATAAATATTAGTCAAATAATTTTCAAGTTACCATGTATGAAACTTCCACACAGAGCATTTTGCTTACTGTGGTGCCTACAGAATTAAAAAAGTTGACATTTTAATTTGTTCTGGACCTAACATAACTTCCCTCAAAAGTACAAATTACAAGAAAGATTGATGGAAAGTATAATGGATACGTATGCCTACAGTCCTGTTGAATCCCTGGTATAATTGTACAGGATATTCTCCAGATTCATGGAATTGCTATTCATAGTTCTGCATATTTGTGGGAGTCTCCTGTCCAGGCTGGGGGAGGAGAGGTGGGAGGTAGGAGCTAGGAGCTGTGGTGAGCCCCCCACAGCTCTTGGCAGCTGCTGTGAGTTCCCAGCGGTTACCAGGAGCCACAATGAGTTTCTTGCAGCTGCTGGGAACTGCAGGGAACTCTCACAGCTGCCAGGAATTGCAGTGAGATCTCTTTGGCTCCTGGCAGCTATGGTGAGTTCCCTGTGGCTCCCAGCCTCTATGAAGCATTTTGGAGCTTGCTGTGGAGGCATGGAGTCGTGGCTCCCAGTGTTCACATTTCACTCTTTGTAGTGGTATCAGGAACACATCCACCACAAATGGCAAGGGTTTGCTGTATAGAAAGGAAATATAAATGTTCATAAATATAAATTTCTTAGTATGGGCATTTGTAAGTATAGTCTAGCCTTCCTCAGACTCCAGCTGCTGCTCTAAATCATAGGTGAGGGAGTCAGAGAGCAGGAACAACTGTGGTGGAGGTAGTTAGGGGAGCTGGACTTTGGCAGAATATGGCAATGAGGCTAAAAAGAGTGCAAAAGTCCCAGGATCCTAGCAGAGAGTTGGCATAAAGAGGGAATAGAATAGGGTCAGAGAAGAGACCATATAGAAAGTTAGTAAAAGGAACCATGTAGACATAGATAAATGGGTCAAAAAATTACTATGAGATTATAAAATCTCATTTTGTCTACATGGATGTATTTCCAAAGTTTTCTTAGTTATTTGTTATTTTCAACTCTGCACATATTTTTTGGAAGATTTCATTGGTGGTGATGTTAAGTTGGAGGGGGAGGGAATCAAATGGGATGATGCAAGTGAAGAAGGATTATATAGCAGTGAGGAGCTGATTACAGTGAAAGATGTTAAGTTGGTCCTGCTGACTCACTGGTTTAGGTACGTAAATTGGGACTACAGATAAATGTTGTTGCCATGTCACTCATGCAATATATTTCTTTTCCACTCAAAATAACCTCCTGCAGATTACACCTCTTCACCCAATTTAACTGTATGTAAAGCTAAGAAGAACACATTACTAGTATTTTAATAGGGCTACTCACAGTCTACAAAGTTAAACAGGTGCATCAGTGTTTGCAAGATTGGGGCCTTAGTGGGTAAACATATGTAAATATTCTAAAAAGAAAAGGCTTGACTACACTTATCTAAATGCAAAACACCATATATTCATTTAATTCCATATCTCAAAGATTCTCTTTTTCATAATAGAAATACAGTATCTGGTTATTATTCAATCAATATGTATAGCACAAGCAGATAATTGATGGAACTCTGAGATGTTTTAACACCTTGGATCAAATTAGTTTTGAATCTTTAATTCTAGTTACTGTAATATGTAGTAGCACATTACTACATCTGTATATATCCAACAATGTGTAATGGTCAAGAGGACTAAGTGTAGGTTGGGTAAGGTCTGAGTGAAAAAGGCATCTAAGATTTTTGAAGTGGTTACTTTGTTTAACTGGTTATTTCTAGACTTCTGAGGGGTTTTTAAGGTAGAAGAATTATTTTATGGCATTTGTAATACCTTTATTGGTGTTAAGCAGACTTCACTGCAGCACACTTTCACTCTTAGCTGTTTTCTTATCTGGCCTTTTCTTTCCTAATTAATAATGTTATTTGATTTCTTTGTATTATTTATATTATAGTAGTGACCAAATGCCCCATTAGGATCACAGCCCCTTTGCATTAGGTCGCTGCTCAAACATCTAGGCATATCCTTCCTCAAGAAGCTTGTGTTCTTGTAATATATGATATTAAAACTACATAAAATGGTGGCTAGAAAAATGAATTGGAAAATAAGATTGGGGTAATTCAAACTAGATCAGAGTGACCCAAAATTTCAGAGAGGGAAATCCTTCTACCTCCATTAAAGCCAAAGAGAGTTTTGCCTCTTATCCAATGGAGAGACCTCCTGTGTGTGAATGACATATATATCAAATCGCTCTAACCCAAGGAGAATTGGCAAAAAAAAATGCATTTTGAGCTGGAGGAGTATCTCAGTGTTTCCTTTTCCCACAGGACTTACTCCCATGTTTTATCCTATGGGAAAGAGAGATCGTCCTATGTTCCAACTTCAAAATCTTTATTATTGCTGGTGATACGTAATCCAGAATGAACCCAGCTTGACTTTCTGGTCCCAAGTTGAGGTAGAAAACTTTTCTTTTTATTTGTAACCAAGCAAATAGGCTCTGGAAGTCAATGAGACACCGTAAATGTGCTGAACCCCACAAAGCCATTTATAAAGCATCACTTTCCAGCAATCAGCTGTATTTTAGATATTTCCAAAAGTACCGCAGTTAACACAATTACTGGAATTTGCCCACCTACATTCTCATTTGCATAACATTTTGGCTGAACAATCGCTTTCATTTTAGAGTAGAAAGAGGATGTACATTCCATTAAAGGAAATCCTCATGCTGCTACTTACTGAGTGACTCAATTGACTCATTAGTAATCAAATCTATCTATATACATATCAGCACCACATCAACCATTTGTGGTATCAGATTATCTGAAGGAATTTGGAAATCTCATCTATCATGGGAAGCTCAAGGGGATAATGTGGTTAACATAAGACAACAAGATACATTTGAGAAGAATGAGCAACAAACTTATTTCAGAGTCAAATCATCTTTTTTTGCAGAAAACAGCAGAGTCTGCTTCAAAGAAAACAAATTACACCTCTTTTCAGTATACAAAAGAAAACAGGTAGAGGAAAACAAGAATAATAAGTTATACGATGTCAGAAAAATGGAGTTATTTAAAGGACAGATTTTTAGAGCTCCAAACAAGGATAGTGGCTTACTTGGTTGGTCTAGTTCCTGGAAATTCTTTTGTCTTTGCTCTTGTTTTCCTTTTTTCCATTGGTCTTTTGTTTTGAACTTATCAGATACAGATACTCCAGTGACTGATGCTCTAGAAATACCTTAGAGACATTCAGAAAGGTATATAAAATGCCTTCTGTAGGACATATTATTTAAGATTTTACCAAGTCTTTAATGTGAAATAACGACTGTCATTAAAACACTTAAAATATAATTAGTCTTCCTCCTAGAATGATGGAATTTATTACTCTATTGTATAACATTTGGAGATCTTGGTTCAAGAAAATTGAAACTAATTTGTTTTTATAACTTCAAAGGAGAAATAGCACAGAAGATTTTCCATAATCCCTATAAATGAGCTAAATCTTCCCAATAACAAAATGAAGCCTTCTCTTGAACAAGGTATCAAACATTGCAAATTCCCTCCTCTCCCCACTCTTTGGACCGTAATATTTACATGCCAGGTCTTAGACATGTGACCTAGATTACTCAGTATCAGTGGCCCCACATCACACAAACCAGTGATGGCAGAGCTGAAGTACTCTACCTGAGTTTTGTCTGTGTATCTATTTAACTTGAACACTAGCATATCACCAGCAGGTGAGAGACCTGGTCATAGAGAGAAAGGTTACGTCTACACTACAGGGTTTTTGTGCAAAAACAGCCATTTTGTGTGAAAACCCGTGGAGCTTCCAGATCTCAAGCGTGTTTTTCACAAGAAAATTGATAGTAGAATGGCAGAACAGAGGGCTTTTTGTGGTGTAGGCATACCTTTTCCCATGAGGAATAACTCCTTTTTGCACAAGAGTTCTTGCGCAAAAAGGTGTATGTGGACGCTCAACAGGGGTTTCTTGTGCAAAAAGAGACCTTTGCATTTTAACCCATGTCTTCCTCACTCCTCTTCTATACTAAGGCTATGTCTACACTACAGGGTTTTTGCGCAAAAACCCGCAGAGCATCCATACCTCAAGTGCTTTTTGCACAATAAAATTTACAGTAGAACGGCAGAACAAAAGGCTTTTTACAGCATAGGTATACCTCTTTCTACAAGGAATAACTCCTTTTTGCGCAAGAGTTCTTGCACAAAAAGGTGCATGTGGACTCTCAACAAGGGTTTCTTGCACAAAAAGAGCCCATCAGAAAAAGCACAGGTGCTCTGATGTTCATTCTGTTAATGGCAATCACAGCTGTCTTGCGCAAGTGTCCATGCAGCATGGACACTCTCTTGTACAAAAGCGCATCGCTTTTGCAATGTGCTTTTGTAGCGTGGACACGCTTTTGCGCAAGAAGTTTTTGCAGAAGATCTCTTCTGCAAAAAGCTTCTTGAGCAAAAAGCCTGCAGTGTAGACATAGCTAAAGGGATTTAGATGCCCTCTCCTGTTCTGACTAGGCTCTTATATTGACCTTATCACCATAATATCTGAGCACCTTCTAGTAGACCATTAAGCAATGTAACAGGATCTCAAATGGTTCAGCCTGTCTCCAGAGGGAGCTTTGGGTGTGAGAGTTTTGTTTTATTAGGATTCTTTTTGAAATCTTGACACATCTGTGTGTTTATGTTGGAGAAGCAGGTTGAAGACACATACCTTACACTTGGTGAGGATGGAAGTGAGGTCTGTGATGGTTCTTAATCCCAGCAGAAGTTGATTCTTCTGCATACAAAGATTTTTGCTTATGGCAGAGAGATCACTGTGGCTGAGGAGAGGAGTTTTTGACTATAGACTACATCTGAGAGGTGACACGCCCCTTTTATTTCACTTTGGGCCCCCTCAAAGCCAAGGACTAGCTCTTTGCTTGGAGTCATGGGTGCTGGGAGTGGCCGCCAAACCTCCTGACTTGAAGTGGTTTCTATTATATATGGGGTTTACAGTTTGGCTCAATGGCTCTGAGCAACCCCACTATAAAAATTGTTCCAGCACCTCTACTTCAAGTACTTTTTCTGCAGTGGGATGAATTAGAATTGTGCCCTTTCAGGATTTCTGTGATCATCCAACCCATATCTTGCTGCCTTATGCAAACCATGTTCCCCCCTCAAGTTTCCCATGGTAGATGAGATTTCCAAATCTCCTTTTCACCCTGCAACAGTGGGGAAAAACACAGCTCTCTTCAGTAAAGATCTACAAAAGGAACAGTTTGTTTCAGAGTATAATTATAAACACTGACAGCTGACTGTGTTCAAAAAATCTTTGTGTTGTGTATATATATGACGAAAAGGAATGTTTCAGAGACAAAATACATGTCTCTCTCTGAAGCTGAAATTATAGAGATTAAGGGAAATTTTAGCATTCTCTCGTCAACTACTTTTACAGTAAAAACTTTACAACTTGAAAAGTTCCCATAAAAGCAGGAGAACAATAGGTACATTTGCCCAATAATTCACAACGACTGGCCTGATCCCAGAGCTATTATTTACATGAGCAGCCACTTTAGCCTCAGTTCTGGTAGGAAAAGTTAGCAAATAGTTTCCATACTATGGTTCAGTTCCACCATTGGAGCAATACTGGGAGTCCTAAGTAGTTGTTCTACTGCCAGCTTTTTAACCACTGTGTCAGTTATATTTATTCTTGTTTTTAGCTGAATGTTGGTATTTCTGCAGTTTCAGCAGAAGTCCCTTATTACTTTTATGTATACTAGGGACATTTATAAACCATATTACATAATCCGCTGATACAAAATCTAGGTTTTTGTATACACGGCTAGTCTATTTAATTGCCAAAATAACATCAAGAATTTTGTTAAACTAGATAAAAATCTGAAGAAAGTGCCCTTAGCATCCATCTCAGGTAAAGCTGAGTTACAGTTTCAGTTCTGAAGCACCTTATCAGTTGCTAACAAACCCTAGTCACACTTTATATTCACATTTATATTAGTTTATAGAGGAATAATAAATTAACATATAAGCATGTTGAAGACCTGAATAGTATGCACTATACATACAGTGACCATATTTTCTGAACCAAAAATAGGGACACAGTATCCAGGCCCCCGGCCTCATTAGCCACCTCCCAGATCCCTTAATCCCTGCCCACCAGTCACATAAAGTCCCACCCCTGGAGGTAGTACTTCCAGGACACGTGGCCAGAAGTGAAGAGTGTTGTGTGACCCTTCTATGAACTCCTCCCATTGTCCTCTGCCAATAGGGATAGGTTTGCCCCCCCCAAAGATCCCCCGATACAACTATACTGCAATTGCATTAATCCAAATTGCATTGCATTAACTTGGGGGAAGAGGCCTGGGGTGCCTCTATTTCAGTGGTTCTCAAACTTTTTGGCCTGTGAACCACCTGGCTCAATGTAAACTTTCTGCGAACCACCAGTTGCTAATGGATACTCACTGTTAATTATATAATTATGCTTGAGCCATTTTGCTAGTGCTGCAGCTAGTGAGAATAGTTTAATTTAAATTATTAAACAGATTAAGTGTTTTAACTTTTTTTAGTTAATCAAACTTCATTTTAACTAAAGTAAAATATTAATTTATGATCAACTATCAAGGCTGTTCCCCACTGTGGCATGACGAATGCAGGTGTTGGGGGCTCACACTCCAAAACCTTGCCTCTACAGGCTCTGATACAAAAACTCTCCCCCCAGAATCCTAATACCCAGATTTTCAGGAATCTGCTGCCACCATTAAGTGCTTTTTAACCCATGAACAGGGGTGGACACTTGAAACCAACCCCTGGGTACCTCAAGCTCTTTTTCCCCGAAAGAGTTTGAAAAAGAAAAGAGAAAAACAAGCTGCAGACTGTGGTAGTCGACCCCTCAGTCAGGCATGCAGATATGCACAGACAGAGCTTCCAGAACACAAACATCAACCAATACCAGTTAATTAGAAAAAATAAACAATTATTTATTATCAGAACAAAACTACACTTGCAAGCATAGTAAAGTGGCTAGATGGAAAGATATAGATACTTAGGGAAATTGATATAGATACTTAGGGAAAGTCGCTGGGCTAAAAGCCTTGGTTACAAAAGAAAAAAAAACACAATTAACACCTCAGACATTATTTCCAAATTCCCAAACAGGGAAAACAACAAATCCTGATGGACTAGCTAAACGTCTGTTCTTGGAGAAAGAAGTCTCTCCCATCTCCCTCAGCACTTGGAAGAAACTGCTCTGAATCTCAAACAAAGGACAGAGAGAGAAAACCCCTCTCTTCCAGTTTGAAAATCCTACCTGCATTGTTATTGGCTGACCACTCAATACCTGGCTAGGTACAGGAGGCATTAGTTAACCCCTTAGTCACTGGGTGCTGGTTAGCACTCCTGATTATGACACCAACACAAAAGGTTTCAGTGTTTTCTTTATGGCAGCAGTGCGGAATCTTTTTTGGGTTGGGGGCCACTGGCCCACATTAAAATCAGCTGGGGACCACACAAGTGAGAAGCAAAAAAACTCCTTCAAAAACCCCCAACCCTCACTACTCTGGCATCCCAGCTCCACAGGATGAGGGGATACTTTTGCATAGCTTTTTCCACAAAAATGTTGCAGTCTAGACCTAGCCTCAGAAAGGGGTAGGGTCCAACAGCTGGAATCTAAACTCTACTATCCCTACATTAAGTAGGAAGTAGTGCTGGGAGAATGACCAGAACTCTGCTACTTTGGCACAGCTGTGAACCTCTCCCAGCCAAAGAAATCATATCAATCTGCTGTGCATACATGCCTTCCACACAGAGCAGTGCACTAAGAACCACTTGATCTACAGTTCCCCTTGCTCTGGTGTCCTTGTCCAAACAGAGCAGCAAATCACCATTTTGAGGCTCCCTTCATGTAGCTGGGCTGTCATTTTGGAATTGGGCTGGAGGAGGGTATAAGGGGAGATGTGTGATCATTCAAAGGAAGCAGAGAGGTGTCTTGAGAATTAATCTGCAGTGTCCTGTCCCATTCTCATATACCCCCTCTGATGCCAACCAGCTCACCATCAGAAGAAACAGACATTCAGCCCTGTTTGGAGTTTCTTACTGGGATGGAGAGGAGGATTCTGAGCTGCAGCAGGGTGGAGGCAGGAACAGCAAGAGTGGAAAAGGAGGCTAAGCACTATGAGCATGTCTACACTAGGAAATAATTTTTGAAATAACTAAATTAGAAATAACTCCTGAAATCACAACATCAAAATAGTGTCCCTGCTATGAGGGAGCCTCAGAATTAGTCTGAGGCAGGCTCCATTATTGTGGACGCACTTCTTTCACTTAGACCCCAGGAAGCACTGGGGTGTAATTACTTCAAATAATTCTGGGGAGTATTTATTTCAAAATAGCATCAGCAGAGCATCCACACTAACGCTATTTCGAAATAACTATACTGAAATAAGTGCTATTCCTCACGGAAAGCAGGAGTACAGATTTTGAAATAACTAGCCCATTATTTTGAAATAATGGGCTTAGTGGTGTGGACACTCCACTTATTTCGAAATAAGGGGGGTTATTGTGACCAGGACTATGAGGAAAGGAGTATATTGCAAGAAAGAGGGGTAATCTCTGCTCACTTTCAATAGACCCAAGTCCGAGCTGTGCCACTGAAATCAATGGGCCTGCTTGTGTAGTGTAAGCTGCCATTTAAACTGAATCCGTATGGCAGAGTTTAACCCTGGGTGAGAAAGTAACAACCTTCAGTAATCAGGGCTGGGGTCAAGGCATTGTTACACTTGGGCCCCTCCCTGTCACACAAATGTAATGTAGCCTAACCCGCATGCTATCTTCAGGCAGGAGGCAGAGACCCTAGAGCAGTGGTCCCCACCCTTTTCAGGTTGGCGGGTGCCAGGGGGCGTGGCTGTTCGCCCGCCAGGCACCAGGGGGCGGGGACACTTTCCCGCCCGGGGGCGGCCCCCTCCAGCCGCATGCCCGGGGGCGGGGCCCCCCCATAACCACGCGCCTGGGGGA